AGTGTCTTCCTCACTTTCCATTTTTTACCGCTGTCATCACCCACCAAGGAGCCTTCATCCTCCTCATCCTCAACACCAGCTCCGATTACGGGTTCATCGGTGCCAAACCCGAGATCCCAACCAGAGCCGGCCAGACCTTGACCTGCCCCCATGGAGGTACCGGACATATTCGACATGTACCCACCTCCCCCCATGCTATTTTGTCGCATCGCAGCCTCTTCCTTCGCTTGACGTAGCTTTTCTTGCCATTGTCCGTTATCATCAGGTCGGAATATAGCCGTTAATTGAGTTGGCTCTTCATCTGATTGACCGCCTTCTCTACCCATGGGATTTGTGATAATCTGGGCAACAGAGTCTCCAGGTCTAGGATCGGTTGGGGGTGGTACTAAGTTTCCCGAGATAGATGTAGCTCCTTGTAGGCCCGCCCCACCTCCGAAAAGTGACATCTTGTCGTTTCGATCTCCTGCCTGACCTCCATTCACTAGAGGAAAGTCTTTATTATTGATATCTAGTAGACCCTTTTTAGGTCTTCCATTTAGGCCGCCATCCGCTCCAAAGTTAGGTAAATTTGGGATCGCCAAACCCCCTTGCATGGAATTTCCACCCGAGTTTCCGTTTCCTTGCATAGGGCCTCCAGAAGTAATATTACCTCCAGGGGCGACGCTAAGAGGACGGTTGGACAACGGGTTCATGGCTTGCGGAGAAGTGAGATAGGAGACTTCGAGAAGACACTGTTTAAGGTAGTCTCGTGACCTAGCACGAGAACGAGGGTCACGACCTAATGGAGGCTTTCCAAGAGAGAGATTAGCAGCATTGGCACCAGCAGACCAGCTTTCCTTTGGTGCTGGCTGAGAAGTTTTTGAAACCCCGGGACCACCGTTGGGCAAGGAGCCAATGGATAAACGAGCCTCAGCTGGTAGAGCTGCGTCTAATGACATGACGATCAGTATTTATGTCGTTAATAGGATTGGGAACAACAAGTACCCTCACTGTGAGGAGAGTTCTCCCCGCTTCCTTCCTTCGGAGGTGGTACAGTCTCATTTTGAGGTTCATCCTTCACAGACGAAGGTTTTCCGGAAGGTGCAGAACCACCAGCTTGTTGAAGTTGCTTGGAGCTGTTAGGGGGGCGTATGAGAAAAGTTTGACGGGCATTTAAGTTGTTCCATTAATGAGCGTAACGCACCGTTCTACTCGGAGGGCGTATTCCATCATCTTTACTCGTCGTAATAAATCAATTTTGATGTTTTCAAAAGATCTTCGCTCGCCCTCGAGGAGCGCAATCCTGGCCTGACGAGGTCGCGTCATTTTCAGCAAGGATACATCGAAACGAGCGAAAATTCAAAATAATGTTATACATACGCGCATTTCTGTTCTCTCAATCTCCCACTCATTGCGTTCACGTTCGTACCGCCGCCATTCCGTTTGCAAGAAGTGGAGAACTCCAGCCAGCGAAAGTTCGTTCGGGTTGGGAATTTGTTGCTGAGGCGGAGGAGGAGGAATTTGTTGCTGAGCGTTGCCCAGTTGCATCTGCTGCTGCAGCGGTAGCATCGTGGTCGACTACAGGTTAGTTTCAGGGCTACCTCAAATAGTGAATGTGACCCGCCGTGCTCGACCGACAATTTATAGATGCACTAAAGATTGAAACAGTAAAAATAACATTAACTGATATGTTTGTTTGACATCTGGGAAAATGTTCGCGAGTTGTTCTCATTCTTGAACTCTCACCACGCCCACACGCTACTATGAACCTCTCCCTATATTCTGTGGCTGGATTTTTGGTCATGGACACGGATGGAAACCGTGTCATGGCAAAATACTATAGACCAAAACATAATCCTTTACTCACTCCTCTGCCGGACACGAAGCAACTTTCGAATTTGAAGGAGCAGAAAGCGTTTGAAAAGGGCCTATGGGAGAAAACGAAGAAACCAGGAGGTGCGTGTAATTGTTGCATATATGCATTCGTGCGCGACACGTATTCTCATATCGATTGACGGCCTGCAGGAGATGTGATCATTTACGATTCATACTTGGCCCTTTACAAGCACTCATTGGATTTAATATTCTACGTGATTGGTCCTCAAACTGAAAATGAGCTTATGCTCAATGCCGCC